AGGTGGGGGCGCCCGCCGGAAGGGGCAGAGGGGAGGGGGCCAATCTCACCTCCAGGGGCAAGATATTCCAAAGGGCGGGGGCTACAGCAGAGAAGGCCCGTCTCCTGGACCCCAGTATAATATAATATTATTTTTACATTTTATATTTTTATAAAAATATAATCTTTTAAAAAATATATTAAAATATTTATATTTATATTATATTTAAAAATATAAAAGTATAATATTTTTAAAAATAATAAACTTTACAACCAAGAAATCTGTGATAATCATTTTAACAAATGGGTGCTTAAGTGAACCATTATACTCATACATTCATATGCATTATATTACTCCCACCTGAGGTAAGCAGTGTTAGGCCAAATGCAGAAGAGTAAGAAGTAATAACCAAAAGAGATTATAGGAAGGAGATATGAAAAAAGAAATCTGACTAAATCTACTTTATACCAATATTGCTTACTGTTCCACTCCACATCTTTCTGTCCTTGCAAACCATTCTTGCTTCCATGACATCCTTGCTTCCATGACATCCATACACTGATTCATACCTGGCATTTGTTCTTCAAAGTTCTCTCTTTTTGAGAATTTCAGCAATTCCTTCTAAATACAAGTTCCTCACTCTTCTCCATCCTTTCAACCCATTCACTCTTCGTTCATGTATTTTGCAGTATAATCCTCATTCATTCTTGTTATGATAAAACCACAATGTCCATTCAGCACCCATGTATTCTTGACACATTTCCTCTTGTTTTATTATGCACTCTTAACTAAGCTATTCTGACTGCATCCAACTTATTCTTAGATTTCTCCTGACATACTTATTTCCATATAACATAAATGAGAAGCAGCATGCTGTTTTAACAGCTATTTTCAGTTTTTTAAAATATTTATTGCAAGAAATTATATACTAACTTCCATCTTTCTACCACCATTTGCACATCTTAAAATTGATACATTCATTTCCCCATCCTGTAAACATTCTGCCAAGGTACACAATTTGCTTTAGTTTTTCACATTTTATGTATTGTTTGCAATCACTCCATTGCCATGTCAAACACAACTACCCTGGGTTTTGAAATACTAACTTGCAGATCTATACTCCTTCATCATACAGTCTGCCTAACGTTTACAACAAATCATTCAAATCATGAGCAAAACATTTTCTTGCCCAGAAAAAGATCTGTATCTCCAGTTTTCACTTTTTCAAATTCTACTGCTTCCACATTTACTGTTATTTATAACAGGCATTTGAGAACCTGAACATAAAAAATGACCTTTACAAATTAATGAGTAGAAAAATAATTGTGTTTCTCAGCCATGATCCAAAGAGCTCCTTTAAACACAACCAGTCAAAATTCTAGTTTATTCTTTCAATAGCAAGAATCTTAATAAATCATTACAAGCTGCTTTTCAAAATGTCTAAAATTTCAAGTAATTTGCCATGTAACATTTGAGCTTACAATTCAGGAAACACAGTATGGTTGTTTATTATCAAATAAAGTATCAAATGTTCTAAAATATCATCAGAAAGATAAGACGACAAAAGTCCTAAACTGTAGATGTGAGCAACATAGAATGCAAATGTAAATACCACTTACTCAAAAATAGCTACAAGCTGTTCACTTGGTGCATTTTTCAACCCTGCTACAATACTTTGTAATCGGCTCACACTCTGTGTTGCTGAAGCAACTGGAGTAATTGCTGATTCCTTCTCTTTCAGGTAACTCCTACCAGTTAAAGGGGTTGATGGTGCAAAGGACCTTTTCTGAAAGTCAAAGTAAATCTTATTTCAATTGTTTTGGCCAATGATTTAACTACACAATTGTAGGAACATTCAGATTACAACTTCATAATCCAATATTGCTATATAAATTTCAACAAATACATACAGCAATTCAGAAATCATTGATTGTGCAATGTTTCACAAAGTGGTATGGTATTACAGTATCACAAAAGATTCATTTTCAGGCTTTCCCATGGCAGTTCTTTAGTGCCAAAAACAATTGAGCTTCAGGTATCCTGAAGGGGGGCAAAGAATACTACTGTTCCTCACACAACCCCCCCCCTCAAATCTCTCAATAACATGCTCTATGAATTATGTATGTCCTGTAAGTGTTTGTTTTCAGATAGCATGACAAGCCTCTATTCATCATGGTAGAAATAAATCTTAATGATCTTCAGTCTATATACCTCCTACATCTCCCTTTCCAATATAGTTACCTGGCTTCTCAAAATCAATCAAAAACTTTGATTTTCATGGATGTGATATTCTCAACAGCTAGCGTATTGATGCTTGTAATAAAAAAATAAATGCCTTGAATCAAGATTTCAGAATATTCTAATCTGTGAATCGTATCTGGACCATTGCATCAACATGAAAACTGAAATACTAAATCAGCTGATATACAAACAGAGTTGATGAATGACTAGGCTAAAAATATTTCATTACGGTTCCTCTTTAGTGCTATAACAAATGCACTTGTCTAAAACAAAACTTAAATTACCTCAAAATGCTGGTGAAGATGACATTCAACATGAGCTCTTACATTCCCAGATGGTAAAGCTGCACAACATTTTTGAGGTGTTCCAATTTCTTCTTCTGCATCTGCCCCCAAGAAAACCCTTTCATCAAAATCACCTTTTGTGAGAACATATTCTTCATATTCCTTATTCAGGGCTTTGCTGAAAAACAAGCAGCACATAACTTTGACTTATTTTTCCTCATTACATACACTCACATTCATATTCTTCCTTTTCTTCCCCGCTGATTTTTTTTTAAAAAAATCCATTGATGTGGTAGCAGGGGAAACGAAGCACCTGCAGTTGGTATTATATAAAGGCTTTTCATACTCCAATCTTCTTTCCATGGTGCTGGAAACTCCCTGATTAAATGCTGTTCCAAAGTTTCTTTATCTCTAGGACTAGAAACCTAACATAGATAAATTGCCTAAATCAAATCCCTTGCCTGTTCAGGGTAATTATAATATGGTCTCACCTAATACAGATAAACACTTCACAATAGCAATTCACCACATAGCCCCAGAGACAAGAGTTTTAAAAATCCTATGAGCAATTATTCCAACAGCTTCTGCACTTGCTATTCAAAATCAATCTAATTTGTATCCTAAAATCACACAGAACAGCCATTTTCAGAATATTTTAACACTATATTTTAAACAGTGTGATTAAATAAAGCACTTACTTGTTGTCTACAAAGTTACTAAGATCCAAAAGACAATCTCCTTTTAAAATCTACAAGACAATCATTAGAAAAGCAGTTCAACAAAAGCAGATAAGCAAACAAAAACAAGATATCAGATTATTTTCTGACAGCCTAAGTAGTTTGTGTAACTTTGTACAAAAAACATTATCTATTCAGAACCAATAACAGAACCAGAAATATCTTCCTCTATTATCAAAACAACATAAATATATAGCAGTTAACAATGTTCTTTTACTTGCCAGTTAAAATAAACTTGATTTATATTATAATGTGCTTTCTGAAACACAAAAAGCACATGTACCTTCAATTAATAATTACTCAGAAAACATCATCACATAACTCCCTTCCCTAAGCACTATGTACTGGGATGAACATGCTCCAACCAAATATTTCATTAGGTAGTCTAAACAAAGCAAAACCATACAAAAAATCCTATATATCTAGCTTATATGAGATCAAGATCACATGGGAATGTCATAGTAAGCCATCGATCTTGGCTTATCAACACACAATATGTATAACAAGCATCATGTTGGATCATGATGCCAAAAAGCTACCATCTAGCTCCTTTCTTCACCCTAGCAAATAATTAGGACACTGAATGTCTATTATTGTTATTTTTAAAAGTAGCTTTCAGTGGTGGCTTATTATGAAGCAATTAAAGTAAGTTCCTGGATTGGAAATAAAAGAAAGTGATATTTAATTGTGGCTTCCTAATTTCTTTATCCACGTATGCCAGGCTCATAACCTCTGGTTTATTATGTCAGAATTAATGCTTTATTGTGAAGTATGAGCATGCTTCTAGAGACCTGCTACTATTCTAATAAAAACTGAAGAAGATTGTTTAAGCCCACCTCTTTGGACATCCGAATTGGACTGCAATACTCTGTTACTAAACTGAACCACCACTATGATTTTAGAAACAGATGTATTATTTCTCCATGTGGATGCCTTCAATACAGAGATCGTAAGTAACTACCAGAACTAACATTTCTTTAATTTTAAACATATTTAACTATTTATATTGCAGGCCCCAACCTAAGCACTGTCCAACTTTATTGTCTTGAACTCACAGAATTCTGCTATGGCAATGCTGGTGGAGAATGCTGGGAGTTAAAATCCATGCATCTGGAAAATGTCATATTGGTGAAGGTGCCATATTGTAATGCACTAAGACTGTGAAATAGCAGTAGTAGAAAAGTTGCTTGTAAGAGTTGAATTGCCTGATATCACAGAGAAGTACAACAGGCAGAGGGTTTTTAACTTCTAGTCAAAGGCAGCAGAAAAGGTAATCATAGCAGACAAAGTGAAGTGCTAGAACATACAAGAGTTAAGATTGTGGTTCATGGCTAAATCTTTGACAGTAGATTTCCAAGCATTCATTTAAAATGAGCAACATTCCACTAAAATACTGTTTCTCCTAACAATGAAACCTTTAAACATAATTATATGATTAATTATTACTTCATGTATACCTTCCTATCATAGAGCTTTGAAATATATGGTTTAAAGTAATGTTCTTTTATGCCTTTGGCATCTACCAAAAGTCCATCATGTAATTCACACAGCGTGGCAATAATGCATGGTGGCCTTTCAGAAGCTCTGAAGTCAGTTGTATGGAAGTCTTCTGGCAAACCTTTTTTTAAAAAGAAGAAAGATTCCATAAAATTCATATGTAATCATTTTCAAAAACAGATGAAAACTTTACATTGTAGTGGAGGGAAGAGGAAGGGAATTAGGAACATACCTTTGAAAGAAGGATTTAGTAAATCTCTTTTATACGGACACAAAAGTGCATTTGCAAAAATCATATCCAAGCAGCATAAAAGTAAATGATATGAGTTCACTAGATCACCACCGATCATACTGAAATTACCTTTGGAACAGAATACATCAAGTCAATTAAAACCATACAGCTAAAACATTTAACAAAAATCAGGAAATAAAGTTAAGCCATTATCAATTACCCTTTGTGTAGACAAATAGAGTCCAGCAGAAGTTGAATAGATCTTTAACATTACAGGGTACCCGTCTATTGGAAGAAAGGTCTCATTTTAGTTCTAAATTATTATTTAGAAATTACTGAATGTCACACAGAAGATTTAGATTCTATTAAATTTAAGAAGTGAGGGTCATAAATTACTATAGCAACTTAAGATACATACAGCATTTTGCTATGTTCAAACATCTGGCCAACATTGCTACCAACCCTACTGTCTCCATGTTTTTGTAGCATACAACACTCCATTAAATGGTTCCATTTACATTCTCAGCTATAGGTAGTCCTCGGGTTAAGAACGCCCAGTTTACAGATGACCCATTGTTAAGAATGAAGCCTATTGTAGCAAAATTTGAGTTAAATACAGAATGATTTGAGTTAAATAAACAATGGTTCAAGTTAATTACACATACAAATGCATTCCA